CTGCCCATACCGCAGCCACACGTGGAAGGAGAGGAAGAAAGGTCTTAGGAGAAGCATCCCCAGCTCGGGGAGTTTCCGCATTCCACACGGATATAAGGAACATTAAATGCAGCTTTCATGTCCAGGAAAGCTTAAGGAGTCATTTGGAAATCAAAGCTTTGCAAGGGCTGCAGCCCAGGACGAAGGGAAAGAGCAGCCAAGGCAGTGCATTGCATTTGGAGCCCGTTGTCAGCAAACAGGCTCTGGTTGGATGCTGTGGGGCACAACTGGAGCAGATCACGCTCATCAAGGGTCTCAGGGTGTGTTTCATGGGGCATTTTGGAAGGGTTTTAAGCATCTGATAAATATAAAAGGGAACGGATCAAAACCGCAGGGTTTTGTGCAAGAAATGCTGGCTCACAGCACACAGGGGTGTATGTGCCCCTCGGGAGGAGCAGTTCCCTGTGGGGTTCTCAGTGCCCATCCCAGGAGGGCTGCAGAGCCATCAGCTCCTCTGAGAGTGCCTAGAAAGCACCAGCTCCTCCAGCTGACCATGCCAGACCCATCCACCCTCAGAGCAGGTAAATGAGTTTTGCTTGGTCTTATCCTATGCAAGCTGTTCCAGCTCCAGAGCTCAGTCCCCAAGGGGACTGGGTGCCAGAAGCCAGTTCGCTCTCAGACTAAGGTTGCGGGTTAGCCCCTAGCAAGCAGGGAGATATTCAGCTCTCAGTGATTAGGCAGCTCTTGTGATTTCAGCTTTGCTTGCTAGGTAGCTTTTCTCTTGGCCTAAGGCTCCAGCAGACGGTAGAGAGAGGAGAAGCAGAAGGCGCTGGCTGTTCCACGAGTATGGCTTTATTGGAGGGTCCGTGAAGGGTCTCAGCTCTTCTTCTTCCGAGTTAGTAGGGGTACAGTGTGCTACTTTTATACCCTTGGCCTGGATCTAATCTTGACTAATGGCAAAGGTGTTAGAGTGACTATAAGTGACTAATAGTAGGGTTTAACACAATATTGCTTTACATGGCTATAGGGATAAGGTACAAGGCGGATGTCCCTGGAGACAGGAAACTTCTTTGCTGCTGTGTCAGCATTCTATTCTCCAAGGGGCCCTGGCTAAACTTGAGGGGTTTCCTACAAGCAGGGAACCTCACCAGCATTTTGCCTTTGGAAGTTTAAGATCCTTTACTTGAGAAGCTGAGTCTGCTCCTACTGAGCCAGGCCCTGATTCAGGGTTTGTGTTTCACAGCTCTGCACCCACAACATGCTGTAAGAGCACCTGGATACCTTTTGGGATGGAAATGTTCACAGCTGGCTTTAAAGGCACTCACGCAACAAAAGCCATGGTTTTCTGCATGAAGGATGGTGTGACAGGGGATAAACACAGAGGGGTCTGGCTGTGGCACTGAGCCCATGGCAGGCTGCAGGTGGAATGGCTCTGGATTCTGTACAAACAATCTCAGAACATCAGCGAGAAATCTGGATTTGTTATAGACTCCACCTCTTCTGGATAACACACCCTGGGCTTTACTGGCAATTTCAGCAGCTCAGCAGTTCTGAGAACACAAAAACAGGAAACTCTGCAGCAGCCCTGACGAGGCTGAAGATGCTTACGAATTCCTTAAAGAAGTGTCATTTTCTGGAAACAAATTATCAAAAGCCTCGAAGAAGAACAAACCTCTTATCAGCACTCTTTGCTTTGCCTTCATCATTTCCTATTAAATCTGTCACCTGCTGAAGGGCAGAGGAAAGAACCTCCTGCACAGGAAGCACCAGAAATTGGACTTTAAACCGGAAAAGGCCAGAGTCCAAATTCCTCCTTTATCACATCCCAGAGTGAGTGAGCAGGTGATGCAGAGCCAGCAGTGCCCCTTCACCTGCCTTTGACACAGCAAGGGCCTTTATTCTGGTCACAGACCTTTATTCTGGTCACAGACCTTCATTCTGGTCATAGTCCTTCATTCTGATCACAGAACTTCATTCTGATCACAATCCTTCATTCTGATCACAATTGTGTATTCTGATCACAATCCTTTATTATGATCACAATCCCTAATTCTGATCACAATCCTTTACTCTGATCACAATCCTTCATTCTGATCACAATCCTTTATTCTGATCACAATCCTTCATTCTGATCACAATCCTTCATTCTGATCACAATCCTTTATTATGATTACAGTCTCTTATTCTGATCACAATCCTTCATTCTGATCACAATCCTTCATTCTGATCCCAGTCCTTTATTATGATCACAGTCCCTTATTCTGATCACAATTGTTTTTTCTGATCACAATCCTTCATTCTGGTCACAGGCCTTTTTTCTGGTCATAGTCCTTCATTCTGGTCACAATCCCTAATTCTGATCACAATCCTTCATTCCGATCACAATTGTTTATTCTGGTCACAATCCCTAATTCTGATCACAATCCTTTTCTCTGATCACAATCCTTCATTCCGATCGCAGGGGTGATAAGGACAGACCCTCACCAATGGCATCTAAGCCACAATCAGAATTTTGCAGCCTCATCTTTGTGCCCCAGTTCCAGGGATGTCTGTGATGACTTCACGGGAGCTGTCTGGAGAGCAGAAGGGAAGTGGGGATTAAGCTGCAGAGGTTTCACTTTTTTTTGCTGTCAGCAGTTTCGAGTCCATTGAAGAAGCAGATTCTCAGCTGGTACAGGCTGAAATTTTATTGCTTTGGTAAATGAATGTGAAGTAGCCCAGAATGTTGGGACTCCATCATCACAGGAGGATTTTCTCGCTGCAGCTTTTGAGCCCTGGCAGTGGCTGCCATGAGAGAGAGGGAAAATAATTGCTTGTGAAAAATTTGCTTGTAAAATTGAGCTGAAGCATTCTTTTCTTCCCTGTTTATAAAAATTTTATTTATTTTTTTTTTTAACCACTGCTTCACATACTGAAAAGCCACATAATTATCAAATGCCCTGTTCAGGAACCCTTCATCAAATTCAGTAATCAGGGCTAGATAACTTTATTGCTCCCTGTTTATTGCCACAAAATGCTCTATCAACATTCACAACCCCAGCCACGGAGCAGAACCAGTCTTAAACATTATATAAAAAAATTCTCTTTACCCCAAGAACCCAGGACTGGGCCACAGCAGAAGGATTTTGGTGTGGAGCAGCCCTGCCAGACACAACCACCCAAATTTCATTCCAGTGACACTAAATCCATGCAGAGGCTTTTAC